GCTTATGAATTCCAGGTCTTCGTCCTATTTAGAATATTGCCGTTGCAGTCGATGCCATCACCACCTCCTAGGACCCCTGGAGTCCAAAAGCCTTGGAGGAGATACCTTTGGAGAAAGGCTGCCTGACCTGTTTGAGTGCTATGCAAACCAGAAATGTCCCAGCTAGATCATCGCATGAACTTTGGAAGAGTGAGGTAACCATAAGATCTGTCCTACCTGGGAAGTAGTACCTCCAGGGCAGCCTCTTCTGCGACCTCGAGACCATCCAAGAAATGTTATTTCTACATCAAATCAACAATATGTACCTGACTTCCCCCCCTCCCCCAATCCCGATTCCCATGATGTTTGGTAAGCTCGTAGAGCCAATTAAAAAACTTTCGATGTCAAATAGTAGTTCCCTAGATCATGGTCTTTCTGAGGCGCAGCAACATGAAAGTTCAAGAAAAGCCCGTTTTTCGTAGTCACCACTCAAGTTGTCGGTATGTTTTACCTAATGCATATACACATCTGAAATTGGTGTCATTTCAAATGTCTCTTCACCCTTTTTCGAAAGATAAATCACTAATAAAGTTTACTTGAAGACAAACATCATCGGGCAAAGGGCTTTTGACCTACAATTACAGACACAGGTCCGTTTTCATTATGAAAAGATAAAAATCATATACAATTTTCTATTTCTTCTACATTAATACAAACAATTTTCATTAGGGGAATAGCCTGGGATCAGAAGATGCAAACATTAATGTAGCAGTATGTTACCAAAAGTCCTGTGAGGCTGCAAAAGAAACTTCTTCATTCATCTAGTTTGGGCAAAGTTGAACGAATCCTATACTTTAATTCGAAGAGGTCAAAAGTTGCGGTGGTGGTCGTGGCTGACACCCCCAAACGCGCAGGCCTACAATGCAATCCCCTTCTGGATCATAGGCCACGCCATCCACGGCCTAAAGCGCCAGGCCTACAAGGCTACGCCTTTCCAGGACATCTTATTCTTTAATTCGAAGAGCCCGAGAGGTGTGGTGGTGGTGGTGGTGGGGGTCGCCACCCATACGCGCGAGGCCTACATGACTATGTCACTTCAGGCCAAAGGCTAGGGCATTCATACTCTCACAGCGCCAAGTCCTTCAGAGAATGTTATTCTAACCCATAGGCTTGGCCATCCAACGCTTTTAGCGCCAGGTCCATTGAGCTATATCAGTCTGAGTCATAGGCTTCATACTTAGCTGTATCAATAAAAGGGTGGTAAGAACTGAATGCGTGTCACGTTTTCACTGATCGACTGCAAGTTCTCCATCTGAATATTCTTAGATCGTTTTTTTTTCCTGTATTTATTTTTTTTCCCGTTAGATCAGGCGTGGCGGTTCGGGATATCGCTTCCATGCAATAGTGTTCTGCTTGCGTTTCATGTCATGGTCGTTTTATTTGAGTTCTCATGATTGATGAAGTCAAAATAATAACGTAAATTCTTTGTTTCATACCTCGCGCAAACGGACCGCTCCTCCCATCAAGATCAAGATGGTCGCGATATTTGCGAAGTGAGGTTGAACGTGAAAAAAAATGTTGAAAGGGGTCCCACAGGACGGCGATGAGGCAGCCACTGCAGATAATAAACGATTGGTGCTGGCGCGGAAACAACGTTTGCCACTGCATTTGCGGTGCGAAGTGCCTAAATCGATGCTTTAGGAGGTGCTAGATAGAATGACTGACAAACAGTACCCAGTTGCACGTAGAGAGTGTAAGGTTGAACAGCAAGAGAGGGAGCAAATGCTGAGCTTAGGATTAGGAGAGCCATGGAGCCTGCTGGGCAACTTGATGTAAGGAACGCAGCACTCAAGTGTCGAAAGTCTGTGGGCTGCCAGGAATTGAACCCGGACCTCTTACTTGCCAGTCAGGTGTGCTACCACGGAACTCGGGACATTTTGTCAGGCCTCTCCATGTCATCTCAAATTACTACAGTCGTTTGTGCAGCGAGCACTGTCAGGCTGCACATTTTGCTGTAGGGAGGGGACATTTGTTTCACATTGCTGCCACAACGGAAGTGTTTCTGCTGCAACTCACACTTAACGCTCACTCTATTGTTCACTGGTGCTAATGTGGAGGCGAGGTAATTTCAGGAATTATTCGTTAGTATTCTGTTGCACATGCGCTAAATTCCCTCTATGCCGAAGTCGAACAAATTCTTCGAAACGGCCCGTACTGTTTCAGAATCAGTGGTACCTGCACCATAAGCTAATGCTAATAACCCATGACCTAATCGGTGATGCAAGAGTATTGAATGTGCTGGGAAGAAGTTGTGGTGGTGGCTGTCACCGCAACGCGCGAGGCCTACAAGACTAGATCATTTCAGGCCATGGGCTACTCCATCCACCACTCAAAGCGTCAGATCTATGGGGCTATGCTATTTTAGGCCAGAGGCTTGGTCATCCATCGCACTTAGCACCAGGTCCATTGGGCTATATCAGACTGAGCCATAGGCTTTGGCTCATCGTATTATTTCCATAGGCTTCATACTTATCTATGTCAAGCAAAGGGTGCTACGAANATGATGATGGTGTTTAGGAGCAGAATCTCCCTGTGTACTGTAAGTTAAATGTGTATAAATGTAATGAAGCGGTTCAGTTCTGAATGGGTAATGCAATGAAAAGAGGATTGTCAAGAAGAAGTTATCCTCACAATAGACGATTCAAATTTCCACATACTAGACGGCCAGCGTAGCGGCCGCAGGCCGCTAGTATATATTTAATTCTTAGTAGTAAGAACTACCAGGATTGCCCCAGAAAGTTAATAAAGCTCACGAAGGTTCCAAGAAGTTATTAAAGTACTTTAAGATTCCAGAAAAGTAACGAACGTTCTGGAAAGTTTTTAAGGGATCGTGAAGCTCCAGGATCTTGATAGGAAATACCAAAAAGTGCATATTCCGCAAGATTATGCAATGACTACCTCAGTATAGTACCTCAGTATACTTGTTTGTGTCGCAGTGTCTAAGTTGCTATGCATCGACTTGTGAAGTTCCGTGCTATTCTTGCCCATTCTCCATGATTGGGAGATCAGTGAGTTGCATCGATCCCAGTGGACAACTTCCCGTTGCTACTCGTTTAGCAAAGCCAAACATTCGTCTAAGTAGAACAATCGTAGGTCAGTCTTTCTATCAATATGTATGTGAGGCAAACTCCTTTCTCTGCAATATGGAGCCAATATTCGCCACGGTTGCTGAAATAAATTGCCCAAATGCCGTTGTTCCCAAGAACTGAGTCGAACACATCAGCATCCACGTCAAATCAACGAGAGCCTGGTCAAAGAAGCAACATTGACGTGGTTGATGACGAAGTCTTCCTTGAGCAAGATAGGAGGCTAGAATTAGTCAACCTGAGTCTGCATTCCATTGGAGAGCCCTATTGGAACGAAGAAACTTACACAACCCAAATATGAAGAGAAGTTGGAGAAGGTTGAGGGCGTTCCGAAGAGAAACTTACTTAATGTGGAATCAGACGACAACTATGCCAAACAAGCCAGTCATCTGAAGGATAATTTCCGAGCGTCCACAGAGAGAAGGAAGAAGGTAAAAGTATTGACGGCTTATCCACAAAGATGGAGCGTTAGGAAAACCCAACACAAGTTTAGGGCATCTAATTTCATGGTTCGTAGAGCGGAAGAACTTGTGAAACAGAGAGAGATCATGCCCACACCAAATCTTAAACCAGGAAGAGTTTCACAGCGGAAACGGGCGATGTCGACAGGAACTGCAACGAAACTGACGAAGTGAGTCGGAAAAAAAGATTTCGTTTCTGTGAAATGCATTGTTAAACGGATTCATGTCCAAAAAAAATGCTAGTCTTGAGCAATTTGAAGCTGTTGTATCACATGTTCAAAGATGGGTTCCCCTCTCAAGCGATTGGCTTCCCCAAATTCACAGGACTTTCTCCAAAGCAAGTCGTCTAAGCTGGAACGAATGGTACGAATGCAGTGTGCGTCTGTGCAACCCATCAAGACGTGAAGCTCATGATAATGGACGGTTATATTACTGATATGACTGCTAATATATTATTTCCAACTGAATTCAAACGCTGTCTGGCAAGGATCACCTGCAACCTTCCTCAACCATTGCAGAGGATGCCGTTCGTGCCTTGTATATGAGGTCTGAACGAAAAGCCTGAGATCGTAAATGGATCACAATATGATGGACAACACAAACTATCGACAGTGGGATATCCGTTGATTGATCCAGCCTCGAGACTCCCAACAAGCCCTCTGGGGATTTTCCGGGATTCTGTGAGAACCTAGTTCTCCTGACATTCATTCATTGCAAGCAAACAATAATCTTTTCAAAGGTGAAATCAAGGTTGCAATTTAAGGAATTTTTGGTAATCTGCGACTTCTCAGATAATTATTATTTCATTCTACGGAAAGCAGCGCATTATTTTCATTGGAAAGACGCACAAGCAACCATCCATCCATTTGTGGCACATTATATGGACCTCGGGAAATTCCAAGCTAGGAAATTCCAAGCTGAGCTACGTCCAATCAGACAGTGCTCATCTTGATAAGGTTGATGTCTATCTATTTCAGAGGAGCCTCATCAGTTTCCTAATTGGGTTCTCTTCCACAGAAAAATAACCTAATTCTCTGATGAATCTGCTTTGCACTATACAAATCGGAAAATATCCGCCAATTCATATCATATTGAGACCGACCATGGCTTTTCAGTTGATTGGCGCTTCTCAGCCATCTGCCACGGAAAAGGAGTGTGACTGAGTTGCAGGGTCAGTGAAAAGGTTAGCTGCAAGAGCCATTCTCAAACGATCGTTCGACCAACGGAAAATGGCGCCTCACGAAATGTTCGAATTGCCATGTGAGATGGGTCCTGGCTATTTGCTTCAGGTATTGCAGCTTAGAAGGCTGCAGGAGATAGGCGAATTTTCAGGAAGAAAGATTTGCACAATCTCGCACGATTCCCGGCACTGAAAAGGTAATTTTTTCATCCCATTGACGGAAGAAGTTCCTGCCTAGGCGTCTTCCTTGTCATCTGTTTCTATATAAGAGTCACAGCCTTCCGGAGTAAGTTTGCACCTAGCAAGATCCAGCCATGAAAAAAAAAGATTTTCCTTCGACTTAGTCCAGTTTTAATTTTACTTTCGCAATTTTTTAAGGTCTTCTTGTCAGCATACTGAAACAGAGTATTATTTTATTTTCGGCTATTATATGGAAAAATGTGGGTACCTGCTGTTATTCTGTTGTATGTGACACATTACATTTAAAAAGTAGGCTATTTATGAACAATAAGTTAGGAATTGTATATACATTTCTTGAATAAACTAAAAACGACATTTTTCTGGAAGTAAAGGTCAAAAGTGAGACTCTTTCACGGTTGACCTTTGGTTTCATTTCAACTTCATGAGTGACATATCCTTTAAAAGGGGACGAAGAGACCTTTGAAATGACCTTAATATCAGCTCTCTATATAAATTAGAACTAAATTGATATGTGATGACTTGATCCAACGTTTGCAACTTTCATGTCGCTTCACCTCAGAAAATACTTGTTCTAGGGAATTCCAATTTGGCAGGGGATAATATTTCAATAGCTACTACGAGCTCCCCAAATTTAATGGAAATCGGAGGGGATCAGGTAAATGTTGCATTAATTAAACATGGAATGACCCGATGACCGGAATTTCCCTTGATACTGGTGCCCCGGAAGCCGCGTTGTCCGATCTATAGAGTGATTAGGCAAATAATTAATGCCCTGCCCAGATCTTCACAGCAACATTCGGTTAATGAGACAGTCTCGAAATCCGCCTTACATGCCAAGTAACGCCATATAGAGAGCCTCGCTGGCTTCCTCTCCGTTTCCCAGAGCCTCTCCCTCCGGGGCTGCTTCTCCATAATTTCCATAATACCGAAGATTGGGTTCCGTCTGAACACCCGTTGGTTCCACAAGAGCCTCAGAGGAAAAATATTTTTTTTTTCGCCAATGTTCTCTATCGACATGGCTTTGTCATGCAGGAACGAGTTTTTGTTCGTATCATGCTTTTATATATTGTTCATCTAATTTCGCTGATTGTCTCAACAATGGATAGCGTGCTAAGCTTCCCCAAAGGAAAATATACAGAATAAATATTTCGCTATTTTTGTTTAAGTTATACGTCTCACCATGAGCATTTAAATTACAGTAGACAAGGTTGTTATGATGAATTTATCAACAGTTTGATAGAGGGAATGTTAATCCTGATGCCAGCGGAAACCAAGGGGATTCGATATTGCATCTGCCCCTTTATAATTCTCAAAGTTTCAAGTTAATTTGGAGTTTTAAGATGAAAAAATTGCAAATATATTCATTGGCTTACGAACGAATTGCCCAAATAGCTGGCCAGGGTAGATGATTCGGAAAGGACTTACCATGGACGTGTGCTTCAGGAAAAGTGCAACGTGCATCGTGTTCGGAATAAATATGACAAAATATAAGAACTCACAAAAAAGGCCAGTCGACTGAGGATGATGAAAAGAGAGGTTGAGAGGATCATGATTCTCGGCTGTTCCGAAGTCGCCTGGATGCTGCCACGATTTCTAACCGCTTCATTCGCGCTACCTCAAGTGCCCTTATCGCCTGCAAGCGTCCTGGATGATAAGCAGTTGTGCGAAGTCGCCCATCAAGGAAACACCACCTGCCGCCAAAACATGCTACTGGAAGGCCGTGCCGCTCCTTGCTCACAGACATCATCTGTATTTACGTCGCGGCTTCAACAATTTGCACCTGCGAGTCCTTTATCTCTCAGGATGTGCGCTGCCGCGTTACCGACAGAAATGCTAGTGGTATCACTTTTTCCCACTGTCGGGAATATGCTGAGCGAATCATGATGGATTGTTCTCTTATTTGCCTTATATGTGGATTTATTCGAGGCCGACGATGCAAATATGCAGTTGAAATGATGACAGGAATTTAAGGGAAATGCTTCGTAAAGGAAGCATTTATTGCATTTGCGAAATGGTCAGTTATCGTATTTCCCACCGTATTAAAGCCTATACTGAATGATGATGCTCTTTTAACATGAAAACAAAACAAAAAATATGTTTTCATGAGCATGCAAGCACTTTTGGCCTGTGTAATATACACTGATGTATTTTCGCTTCATCACTCAACAGGATTCCTTCTCTCAAAATAAATGAGAGCGAAATATTTGTCAAAATAAGTAATCTAACTTGTAATGAAGATGACGGTCGTTTCGAGTCATATTTCATCAATAGAGGGCTACATATATTCATATGGCATAAAGAGAAATGAGACTTCCAGAAATAGTTTCGTCATTCCTCTGCCTGGGAGGGAAATATGACTCCCTTGTTGTTTTCGCCATGAATTCCACAACGCGTGCTTGAAACCTGGCGTGAAACATGAAGGACGCGGGGGTCAACCTCGACGGTTGAGCCAACTTCGATTATAATTTACATCAACTCTTCAGGAAACCTGGTTCAAGCAATCCAATTTCGAAAAGAATTGAGAAACACAGGCTTTTGCAAAGTGACGAGAAATGTACATTCAAAACTTTCTCGGGACATATAAAGGAAAAAAAAACTTATTGGGAAAAGTACGATAATGAAAAAAGTAACTAAAACTAAAGCAAAAAAAGCTCTTCCGAAAGTGAATCGAATAGAAGAATGCTAAACCCGATTAATAACTTCGAACAAAACAATCAGCCTATCCTAAGATTCCTTTCAAGCACCTTGGACACGAATGAAGAGATTTGTCATGTCACTTTCTCAATTCAAGTGGTAAAGATGGAAATAAGAGGGTGATCATTTAGGACACCCACAATCGAAGATAGGAAAAGAGTAACCCGGTCAAGCCAGAACTTACTTGGGTTAGGAACTCCTGCTCTCTCATCATCTCCCAAGTGTGGAATCGAGGGGAATCGAGGGGAATCGAGAAACTCTTTACAATTGGAGATTGAGTTTTACGGAAGAGGTTTCGTTGAGAAATCTGCACTGAACTCAACATCATGAAGTTATGGCTTGGAAGTTTGCTAGGGGAATATTTGAAATGACATGTTGTTCCCTCTCCCACGATGATTCCGAGGCCCAAGCATTGCGTCCGCATCCATCTCCACCTGCAAATGTCAAACAAAGAATTTCTCGAGTTTGTCTTGTTCCACTTTCATCCGGGGTGTGGTCTGTTCTACAAATCAAGATCAAGGTATTTATATCAAAGTCGTTCAAGGACCGACTCTTGTCAGAAAGTCGCACATGCAGAGGCCTGGAGATGCCAGGGGTTCCCCTGACAGGAAGTTACTGCATTCCTCGCTTGTCGCAGAGGGCTTCGTTATGTGCCAAAATAAAAATACTGTCTGGTGTATCGGAATGGCCTCCATTTAAGGATGGCGCAAGGCTGTGGATCTGGGTCGGTACGCGACTGTGTTTTTAACCTTCACTAGATTTTCCTCATACTGATTGATTTAGAATAAAACTACAATCTCTTCAGTTGTTATTGGGCTTCCATTTTTTTCCGGTTACATGTGTGTACTTGTTTCCAAGTACTCCATTTCTATGGGAAAGTGAAACAGATATAGGGAAGCGTCTGCGGAATTATCTGTGTCGTATTCCTATAGCGTCCGTAATTTAAATTCGTTGCACCCGTTCTCTTGGGAAAAGTGACAATGAATAATTATCCCCGGTCCCAAGGAACTCTTAGAACACGCAGATACTGCTTTCTTTGATCAAGGATCGCGTAGTGCGTCACACAAGGGTGCCAGATAGGGGAAATCAGGGAAACATCATTGGACAGCATGTAACGGACTGTATGGTAACAAATTCTGTCAATCTAAAAGTAACGAAGTGTACATTAAAACCTAGATTGCCATTCCTAAATGTGACCTTTCTCCCCGGTTACTTTAACACATGTGCACGAATAAAATGTCGCAGGCAGGATTTCGAACATGGATTAATAGAAAGCACCAAATTCTTAAATGGTACAAGCGTCTACTCCAAAAGAACGTCTTTGTCGGCGGTCGCTGATTTTGCCACTATAGCGGCCACATCGAAGGTTCACTGCATTCAGATTTAAACTTTAAAAAAAGCACACGCCCTTCCTGAATGATTCTCACGTGTTTAGTAAGAATTTGGAGGGTTGTAAACCGAAAGACCATATTCTATCCGCATTTCGTTCTGCACTTCATTTCTTTTTCATCGGGAAAAAGCACGACCACAAATGAGTTCAGCAATCTTGATTAAATTTGGCACACAAACCCGAAGAATTGTACCATGAAATGATGTTCATGTGATTTTCATGGGCGTGGAATGAAAACAGAAATTTAAGCAGCAATTAAGCCTCAAAATTAAGGGGACGCGCCTCATACAAATGATTGAAGTGAGGCGTTCCACCAAGAACGCGTCGCATTATTCTCACCTGTCACCCTCGAAAAGGTGGTGCTAGTGCCCACCGTTATTCTGTGCAGAGACGAATCAAGCAGGGTAACGCTGAGTTCGTCATTGAAATTAATGCACGAAGAATGTCCAATACACCATGAAAGGTGAGATGTGACAATTAAGCTTCTTACTCGGTGAAAGAAACTTGAAATGCCCAGAGACTCTTTTCAACCGAGAGGAAAACATTTTAAATAACACTTGATAGCGAATCGCGCATTTGGGTTTCGAAAGCAGAAACCTCTTGGTCCAGCCTTCGTCGTCATAGTCGCGATGAACTCGACTGCCAGCCGATGAAAAGTTGCTTGGAAATTAAGTTACCTGACTTCGTGTTCAGTGGGAGATTGCGTATGCTTGAGGCAAACTATTCTGGGCGATTTTGGGGCTACCAAAATCCGACAGATGCAGGAAATTCCGAAAATTTCCTCATCTGCGAGACAACATTATTTTTAGTAATCTCCATCCAAGAAAAGTCAAGGAAAAACTTGATACGCAAAACAAATACTTGTAAAGAGAAAACAAAGGAGATTGAATTGAGCGATATAAGGAAGGGGATAGTACTGTATGTCAGGGGAACATGAGATACGGAGATATGAGCTAATGTGACATACTCTGGACATAATGTCGACATTATATCATCGCTGTTTGATGAGGCGGGAAAAATTCAGATTCACCTGAACGGAAACAAATTCGGAATCGATTCAACCATTCAAGAGAAACTTTCCTGAAGGTTTTTTTTTTTATTTCGAAAAAAGTTCCAATCGCTCAATTTCATTACGAATGTGCCAAGTGCCGACTTCATTAGGAAACATGCAATCTGAAGTTGCCAATAAATGAAAATGCCAATAAATGAATTGACAGCGGCAGACTGACTCATCACATGGTAGACTAACTTATCTAACTTATCAAACTATATATTTTTCTATAATACTACTAGCGAGTTTGTTTGACCTTCAGGCAACAAACTCGCTATGGTCGCGTCTTCTGCGCTCCGTGACCTACGATCGTCATTTGATCATTAAGTCATTTTGGAATTGGCAAATAACTTGCCAAAAATTTTTATCTAAATCATTTCTCCGGTGATCTATTGTGTGAAATGTCTATACACGTCCCACTTTGTCATAGCGATAAGCAAACTTTGAAATACTTCCTTTCCATAATCTGCCCTGAGGGTACATATTTCAGAAGTAGGACGTTTCCTTTATTCAGCTATCTATTTGGTACTTCTACGCTAGGTTTCAACTTCTTATTGCTCTTCGTTTTATTGGATCAAAAAAAATTCGGAAATTCCGCCTTTTAAAAATTATTGTGCCCAAAGGTGTTTTACCTAAAAGCTACCATTTTTTTTTACTGAAAAATCTCTGCATTCTCAGAAAAATCTCTGCTCTGCACTCACAGAACGAAATGCCCACCGAGTTTTTAACTTATACAATTATCCTTTTCTCTGGTGAAATAATATTTTTGGAAAACTCTACCAAGGCAATAGCTATGCGCTGAGGGCATGCATCGCAAGAACTGATATTTCTCTGAACTCAGCATCATATTAGTATCTCTATTTCTGATGAATTCTCTAGGACAAAATAAATATTTCAAAACGTCAGAAATTTGATATTTTTCCTGATCTTAGTGTCTTAGACAATTTCATGCCAAGTCTCAGATTTCCATGTCTCTCCGCTTGAATGAAGGAAAAAATATTTGAAAATATTTCCCATTAAAATATGTGCCCTAAGGGCAAGTACCTCCAAGGTCGGATTTTCCTGAACCCCCAAAAAGTTACATGTGTGCCAAGCCTCATGTTTATACTTTATATATAATAGAACATTGCTAGAATTAACGTCAGTCGCTCACTCATTCGGTCGCACACGTTAGTCTATATATATAAGATGGCTCGAACCATCTACAATCCCATCTACAAAGGAAGTCTCCATGAATTTGCACGACCCACTGGAAATGTGAGGTCGAGGAGCACAAGGAAAACGAAAAAGCTTCCCGATTTAGATACGTTTGGCACAAACGTAATACCTTCGCAGTTCTGCGAAGCCAGATACCCCTGTTTGTGTCCAGATCGTTCAAGGACTGAACCGTCGCGGGATGTTGCACATGTAGAGACCTTCAGGAGCTAAACATTTGCGTTCCATGAGTTTCGGGAGGTCAAAAGCGCACTTCCTTCTCACATATGGCGAATGAGCGGGCAAAAATAAGGTTGCATCTGGCAATCAGCGTTTACCTCGGCGTGGAGATCACGTGCGTCCGCTGATGAGATTCAATGTATTTTCCTCCGGCATATTTCTCCTCCTGCAGATTTCTTCTCCTTCAGATTTTTCCTGCTTTAATCCGTTACAAACTAAAAAAAATGCATTTCCTTCCACTACACGGACAGTTTTCCTAGTTCAAAAAACTTTTGAAAACAAACACAATGAAGTGATTTTTTTGTACTGGCTCTACTCTATGTCGTGATTAGATGATTACAGTTGCGATGAAACAAACGTCTAGTTCCAAGTATTAAATATCGTGAAGGAACGGAAAACGTTCTTGAGATCACCATTGGGCGCATTGACATTAAACGAAAATGTATTGGTGTCTTCGTGAAAGTACATGATATGAGCAATAGCTCTTCCTCTCATGATTCTGAATGATTTTCGAAGGACATGACTTGAAAAATATATGAATTGTGGAATGATTTCATGAAAGTCACCTGTACATTTGCACAGGACGTCATCTTCCTTTTTTTCCCTTTTGCGAACATTACCATCATTGCAATGATCACCTGGTAATGTTCGCATCAATGCGAACATTACCAGGTGGTGATTTTCCACGATTTACTTCATCATTAACCTTATATACGTGCATCATATACTGGGCGAAGTCCATCATATGCCGAGTAATTTGCATTTGGAGGGAATTTCACGTAACTAACGTTGCAAACTCGGAAAATTCCTATATTTATTTCCAGAGACTCCCTTCCACACAGCTAAACGATTCTATGAGGTAATAACATGCTCAACATCCTGCAGAAGTCCTCTAGTACGTACTTTCCATTCTAAGCAATGAAATATCCCGAATGGATTATGCCTATTTACTTACGTGGCGTTTCCACCGGAAATGCACGTGCTTGAAGCCTTAAGCGAGCGATGAAGGACGCAGGAAGCAGCTGGCATGTCCCATATCTCCGTACCAATCCGAGCTAGTGAAAACCAAGGACGGTCAAAATGCAATAAGTATGTGTGCGGGAGCGTCACCGAATCAGAAATCATCACAGTATCGAAAATCTTCAGACCGAGCAACATGATCCTCTCAACGGCTCTTCTCCTCGTCCTCTGTCAACAAGCCTTTTTCGTGAGTCTCCATTCCACATATCAATTGCGTGCAATGTGCCGTCGGCTTTTCATTAATAATAAAAGAACCGGGGAAAATCTAAATTTGAATAGGTTTGTACTCGTGACAGCCACAGGAAAGCCATTGAAGGAAGAATAGAAATAGGATAAAATTGTATTTTGATCCTCTGCTTAATCGTGGAAGGATTTTAATCATGTTGACAACCAATAGTATGGACTAACTCCTTGATTTTCTCTAGATTATACTAACATCACAATACGTTCAAATGGAAAAGTTTCGGTTTCCAGTTATAAATATTCAAGCTCACGCAGATTTTGAATGTTTCGAATGTGTTTTTTTAATTCCTTCGAAGTGTTTATATTCCAGTAATTTGTGCTTATAACGCATTTCGTAGATATTCATCAGACTTAGGTTGACGAGATTGTATACCTCCATCGACTCAATTGATTAGGGCATCGCTTTTTCAAGAGAGCACGAGGGCAAACAATTGATTTATCTTCGTTTGCAGGCTCTCGCAGAACTAAATGGAATTCAGGCTGGACCCTCGTTCAGGCAATACGGGGACGATGACGAAGCGGTTGAGGAATTCGCTGAGGGAGTCGGAATGGTAACTGGCGTGGCTATTTTGGGGGCCCTACTTGCAAGGTATGGCAGCCTCAATAAACAAACATTTTATTGTAATGATCAATGCAGTGTATTCATCGTTTGGGTATTTATGTAGTGGCAGGGCCGGTGACGTTGCTCCAGGGGCGTATTCCAGAGAATTGGAATCAAGACGTCTGCAAGGACTCAACTTCGAAAGAAACAATGTCCTTTAACAACATTAGAGTTGCCAAGTTCACTCATTTGGACTTCGTGCACTTCTGGAAAATTTTCATATGTTCTTTTATTCACATTCTGTGAACTGAATATACTGAAATTGCCTGAAAATGTATGTATTTCGCTTCTTTTGACCGTATCTTTCGAGTGATGCGTTTCTCAAGAGGGTTCCAATCGGCATGAATAGGAACATACAGTCGTGTTTGAATTTCGTCGGCGCTCTTCTCAGAACATTCAAATGGATCAAGAGTTACTTGTTTTAGTTTCTTTCAATTGCGATACAGGTCTGTCATTATAGGAAAGACAATGCTTGCATCTGACGTTTCATCAAGTACTGCGTGAAAATCAATGCAAGAGGGTAGAGACGCTACGAGAAGGAAGCCGTTCCGGTTTCCACTTTTGAATCACATTTTCCTTTCGCAATCTCCAGAGCAGACAGCTACAGATTGGATGGGTTCCAGGGATCCCTATCTCCGGCCTTCTTCGCCAGGGCTAATATACAGGTAGTAGCAAGTCATCCAGGAACTGATGGGAGACAGCAGATACGGCAAGCGATATATTCAGCGTCAGTACTGATTACAACACCGTTGTCCAACATGGGTAATAAATACGATGTTCATGGCGTAGAGTTGGTATCATCAACTAATCTGCTGTGGCGCAGCTCGTATGAATTCATCCAAGAAGTACCAATATGATTTACTTAAATGGAAGGGAATCGTCGTACCCCCAAATGCTTTTAAATGACGTAAACGCCTATAGAAACACAATATCTGAAAATAAGGAGCACTAAGTCAAACAAAAACCTGCCAAGATATGAACAATCTGCCAAAGTGAAGTATTTTCTGAGATTTTTGGAGACTTATAATTTTTTTCATTGCACATTTGAATGTAGTTTCTCCTCAAGTGAGGGAGTGAGAGACTTTGCAATAAATGAGAACGTTTCAGGATTTTGGCTTTTGAAACGTCATTGGAAATCTTGTTCGTAATTTAAGCTGATCTGATGAGACTAGAAACAGTTTCTCTTCTCTCATGCAACCATTTTTTTTACTTTGTGTGCTCCACCGAGTGATACTCATACTTAAGAGTAAAGCGATACATGAGTTAAAATCACACTCCTCGATTTCCATAGGAACCATGAATGAGCGTACCTTTATTCCTAGACTCTCGTGGGAATCCTATAGGATTCCCATGAGAATTTCCCGTAAGGGCATCCGACATTGCAATAGTACTAATCTAAGAAAGAAAAGCCATCCCTCAAAATAATTTTGGTCTCAAGTTCAGTGTTTCCGAGGACATATGGACATTATGTGACCAGCTTGAAACATATTTGCGAAATAAAAAATGTATACTATCAATGATATATTTCCATACTCAAGCTAAAATATTGTGTTGAAAAAAAAATTTCCAACACTTTCTAAAACTACTTATACAAATTTTCAAAGGAATGATGGGCGGGGCTTTGCATTCGTATATGCTGGAATGTTCTCGAAGATTCTGCCCAAGGGGTATATACGGCGGCTTCTGCCATTAGTTGGCAGCCATGGCTCCGATCGAACAAGCAACTGTTCGCCCCATCGTCTACTACGAGTACCTCCAAGGACACTCTGCGAGAGCCGCCGCGGACAACATCTGCGCTGCATTCAAGGGCAACGTCGTCCACCATTCCATGGTGTCTCGATGGTTTAACACGTTGACGACCAGCCTATTTTTGCTTGTCCGCCGCGTGGGACCACGCGCATTTTTTTTNCTCTGACAAAACAAGCCGTGTCATTGTCTGCGAATCATTGCTCCTTCGTCCGCACAGAAATGACCCTCTGAAGGAAATCGTTACTGGAGATGAGAGCTGGGTCCTCTACGCCAACCATACTCGCAAGAGTCAGTGGCTTCCACGAGGAGAATTACCGCCACACGAACCGAAACCAGGGTTCCACGAGAAGAAGGTTCTTCTCTGCTGTTGGTGGGATTCAGAAGGAATGTTGTACTATGAGCTCCTGCCAATCGGTACCAAAGTGACTGCCGTCGTCTACGCTGCTCGACTTCAGAAGTTGGCTGGCGTCATTAAAAAAGAGTGTCCCAAACGAGACAAAGTTCTCCTCTGCATGACAAGGCTCGTCCACATGCTGCGAAGATGACTCACCAGACAATTTCGGAACTGGGGTGGGAAGTTTTACCCCATCCAGCGTATTCTCCGGACTTGGCCCCTTCCGACTATGTCTTGTTCCGGGCCATCAAGTTCCGGGCCATCACCTGCGGGACAAGGCCTTCGACCATCGAGCACAGCTCGAAAATGATGTCGACCCTTTCTTCGCTTCGCAATCGCCAGAGTTCTGGGCAAAGGGCATCGAGCAATTACCCGTGCGTTGGGAACATGTCATAGACAACAATGGTCATGACATTGTAGACTGAAATTGCATTTCAATAAAGTTATAAAATTTTGAAAAATTTGCGCAGTGTTGCAAGACTTTCTTTCCAATGCAAAATAATGCTTCAACTGTAAACTGGTATTAGTTTTTATTCGAATACACAAGGTCATGTTTAAGGTCAAAAGTTACTCAGACGAGTGAACATGATCAAATATGTTTAATTATCAGTTTTGATTACATATAAAGGATCTCCACCGTTTTCCCTTTTGAATGAAAATTTGGACATTGAAATCGGACCATAACATCGGATTACATGCCCAGATTCCCATGGAAGGTCAAGCTCCGCCTTTGAAACTTCATATGTTGAACTTCAAGTACAGTGAAGTACGATTAAAGTCCTTCAAAGTGATGACCAGTTTTCAAATGTCTGGTCCATGCTGGTAAACAACAAAAACAGCTGAACTGAAGAGCAGAATCTCACACAGCAAGAAAAACATTCTATTATTATGTCAGCTACTGTCACAAAATGAATGCATTATTTCTCACAACGTCTTGTAACGTGTAGAGCAAATTGTGGACATCAGTTTGAAGGACTTTAACCCTTTGAGCCCTCACCACCGCCTTACCGGTGGTAGAGAGAAATGACGTATTGCCTGATTGGCGCACAAAGAAAGAATTCTGGCGTTAAAATGAAGGTACCAGTAGGACGATAAACGTACGTTTCGTAGTTAGAGTAGAGAAAATAATGTTGATACTATAAACGTGTTTGTAACATATGGGTAATAATCCTTTAAAACGCCCAGGAGCTCAGGCAGAAGGCTCAAAATTTCTCAGGAACTCAGGGCTCAAAGGGTTAATCATACTTACTTGAAATTATGGATTTTGTATAGTTTGGAGGAACATGTTCAAGCTTACAAAACACCCCTTCCAATTCTATTTAGCCCCACTAAATCTAGTTTCATTTTAAGTTAAAATTAAGAACTCTCATCTGGGACTCCATGTAGATAATCTAATGAAGTTTTATTTTCAATCAGAGATTTTCGCATCGATGTGTTTCCCACAATTGGCATGAAAAGCCCCTTGAAATTCTCGAGAAACCTTCTCAAAAGAAAAAGTTCGCATTCGAAAAATCTACTCTTATTTCTTTCAGCCTGGTGGATGCACGGAAGGTTAAAGATGAGTGTAGATTTGTCCCGGTTGGCATGAACCTGGGTTGGGAAATTTGTCATTCGTTCTTCTTTTGTTCTATAATTGATGTTCAGGGAGAGATGTATGCAAGACTCTCGTGGAATGCTTGCGAAAATTAAAAATATATGTTATTTGCTCCTCGATAATAAAAATGGCCCGCCTTTATTCTCATAGAATTATGATGAATACGCATTTGACAGAATATCATTTTATCAATCAGAAAAGAGGAGGACAGACATTTGCAAAATGAGAACTTCTGAAACCCCATATTATGCCGCCCGAGCCATCAACTACCCTATTGCAGCAGAAGCCTCCTTGAATTTGCAAGACCCACCGGAAATGCGAAGTCGAGGAGCACAAGGAAAACGAAAATTCGTCGGGATTATTGCACACTTGACTCGTAATGCTTTCGCAGTTCTGCGAAGCCAGATACCCCTGTTTACGTCCAGGTCGTACAAGGACTGAACCTTGGCGAAATGTGGAACACATGGAGACCTTCAGGGGCCATACATCTCTGTCGCATGAGTTTTCGGAGGTCAAAAGCGCACTTCCTATCCGCAGATAGTGCATGAGGGGGAAAATTTGAGGTTATGCCTGGCTTGTAACATTAACCTCGACTCAGAGGTGACGTATGATAGCGGATCTGATTCAACATATTTTCTATCTACTCGTTTTGATCCAAAACAAGCTGAAAAACATTCCCCACCACTACACATGCAATTTTCCTGATGCAATGAAGCTATCATTTTTGCTCTAGCTCTGCTTCACGCTGTGAATAGACTTAATTTCCACAACAGGGATCAGATAAACCTCGGGTTAACTATTGTGAAAGAAGTTGAAACGGTTTTTAGAGCAGTATTGGTCAATAGTATCCAAAGTACATTTATTACCGCCTTTATGAAAGTACTGGTACTTGATCAATGCAATACCTCTTCTCTCATGGTGCTGAATGATTTTCAAAGGTGACTAAAATAAAAGGAATGGTATGACTCACTTAATGATTTTAGGAAAGTTTCATTTCCATTTCCACAAGACATCATCTTCCTTTTTCTCCTTGCGAACATTACCGTCTGTGGTCGTGATTGTTTATTGCTTGCTTAACCATTTATTTAATACAGGAACGTCATTTATCGTAGGANCAGCTGAACTGAAGAGCAGAATCTCACACAGCAAGAAAAACATTCTATTATTATGTCAGCTACTGTCACAAAATGAATGCATTATTTCTCACAACGTCTTGTAACGTGTAGAGCAAATTGTGGACATCAGTTTGAAGGACTTTAACCCTTTGAGCCCTCACCACCGCCTTACCGGTGGTAGAGAGAAATGACGTATTGCCTGATTGGCGCACAAAGAAAGAATTCTGGCGTTAAAATGAAGGTACGTCATCCTGCTATTTGCATGCAAAGCATCAATCTCATCTCTTTTATTACAACTATGATATTTGCACAAACATTGTATACCCATTATTAGGAAATTTTGGCCCAGGAGCTCAGGCAGAAGGCTCAAAATTTCTCAGGAACTCAGGGCTCAAAGGGTTAATCATACTTACTTGAAATTATGGATTTTGTATAGTTTGGAGGAACATGTTCAAGCTTACAAAACACCCCTTCCAATTTTATTTAGCCCCACTAAATCTAGTTTCATTTTAAGTTAAAATTAAGAACTCTCATCTGGGACTCCATGTAGATAATCTAATGAAGTTTTATTTTCAATCAGAGATTTTCGCATCGATGTGTTTCCCACAATTGGCATGAAAAGCCCCTTGAAATTCTCGAGAAACCTTCTCAAAAGAAAAAGTTCGCATTCGAAAAATCTACTCTTATTTCTTTCAGCCTGGTGGATGCACGGAAGGTTAAAGATGAGTGTAGATTTGTCCCGGTTGGCATGAACCTGGGTTGGGAAATTTGTCATTCGTTCTTCTTTTGTTATATAATTGATGTTCAGGGAGAGATGTATGCAAGACTCTCGTGGAATGCTTGCGAAAATTAAAAATATATGTTATTTGCTCCTCGATAATAAAAATGGCCCGCCTTTATTCTCATAGAATTATGATGAATACGCATTTGACAGGACATCATTTTATCAATCAGAAAAGAGGAGGACAGACATTTGCAAAATGAGAACTTCTGAAACCCCATATTATGCCGCCCGAGCCATCAACTACCCTATTGCAGCAGAAGCCTCCTTGAATTTGCAAGACCCACCGGAAATGCGAAGTCGAGGAGCACAAGGAAAACGAAAATTCGTCGGGATTATTGCACACTTGACTCGTAATGCTTTCGCAGTTCTGCGAAGCCAGATACCCCTGTTTACGTCCAGGTCGTACAAGGACTGAACCTTGGCGAAATGTGGAACACATGGAGACCTTCAGGGGCCATACATCTCTGTCGCATGAGTTTTCGGAGGTCAAAAGCGCACTTCCTATCCGCAGATAGTGCATGAGGGGGAAAATTTGAGGTTATGCCTGGCTTGTAACATTAACCTCGACTCAGAGGTGACGTATGATAGCGGATCTGAGTCAACATATTTTCCATCTACTCGTTTTGATCCAAAACAAGCTGAAAAACTCTCCCCACCACTACACATGCAATTTTCCTGATGCAATGAAGCTATCATTTTTGCTCTAGCTCTGCTTCACGCTGTGATTAGACTTAATTTCCACAACAGGGATCAGATAAACCTCGGGTTAACTATTGTGAAAGAAGTTGAGACGGTTTTTAGAGCAGTATTGGTAAATAGTATCCAAAGTACATTTATTACCGCCTTTATGAAAGTACTGGTACTTGATCAATGCAATACCTCTTCTCTCATGGTGCTGAATGATTTTCAAAGGTGACTAAAATAAAAGGAATGGTATGACTCACTTAATGATTTTAGGAAAGTTTCATTTCCATTTCCACAGGACATCATCTTCCTTTTTCTCCTTGCGAACATTACCGTCTGTGGTCGTGATTGTTTATTGCTTGCTTAACCATTTATTTAATACAGGAACGTCATTTATCGTAGGATGTATATTATATGCCGAATAATTTGCACTTTTATCTCATCAACGCCGAAAACTTGAGAAGCATCCGTATATATTCCCAGAGTCATCCTTTCACGCGACAAAATTATTTAGTGACTCAATGTTATACTCAACATCCGGGAGAAAGTCCTCTTGTCTGCCGTATATTTTTTAAATTAATAATATCTGATAAAAGAGACATCCTGAATGAATGTTGTCATTCGACTTCCCAGGACGGGAAAGATACTGAGGGCGGTTCAGCGCGAGAGACGAAGGACGAGGAAAGCCAACGCTGTCACGCGAACGTGCCCGATACATTCGTGCCATCGGTGCATGCTGAAGCCAAGGTCGGTTAGAAACCTATAAGTACCCATGCAGGAGCGCCATTGAATCAGTAGAAATCATCGAAGCGTCGAAACTACTTCAAAGCATCCGAGCATCATGATCCTCTCAACGGCCCTTCTCCTCGTCCTCTGTCAACAAGCCTTTTTCGTGAGTTTCCGTTCGACGTATCAATTGCGTGCACCATGCATATCTAATTTTTAATAAATTAGAAAATCAGGGATTATCCTAATATGAATAGGTTATTACCGACGACAGCCACAGGAAAAGCTATCGAGGGACAAAATGAGAATGGGATCAAGTTTTATTTTGATACTCGCGTTTATCTTGGAAGTATCCTAGTCATGTTGCCAACCAGGAATATCAACACACTCCTTGCTTTTAGCAGGATGATTCTAACCTCTCAATAGATTCAAATGAAAAAAAAATTTGGTTCTCATCTATAAATATTCATAATCACGCAGATATTATTGATTCGATTAATGTTTTCAAAAATTTATCCCGAAAATTATTTTTCGAACTAGCTCTGCTTGTAATGTATCTCGTAGAAATAAATCAGCCTGTCGTTGACGAGATTTGGGATTTGTTGTATGATATTTTTTCCCCCTTAAATTTTTCCCCATCTCCTTAATGGAAATGGAGTTCGTTTTAAAACGTAGAATTGTAAGTTTGTCGATTGTCAAAAGAGAAAATAATATTTACTGTCAAAAACTGACCAAGCGATATCATAGCAGAACAAACCTCCTGCAGAGGACGATGTTTCTTCCTGCTTTCATGTCAGCTGCCCTTCATTTGCCTTTTACCTCCGTTGCCTGAAATCTTTGATGTGGCTTTCAAGATTGCCCAGGAGTCGACACTGGCTTAGACGTTAGCGAAGCAGATGGGGCCGCAAAATGAACACTTAAAGGCACGGAAGAAATAGTCGCCGTGGAACGAGGCGAAGTTCCTTCATTTCCATTCCATTAGAGGTGGGGAAAAATATTACGGGGGGAAAATGTCATAAGACACCGGCAACAACTCACTTGATTAGAGTAACGCTATTTCAATGGCCGACCAAGACCAACCATGTATTTCTCTTCTTTCACAGGCTCTCGCGGAACCGAAAGGAATTCAAACGGGGCCCTCGTCCAGGCAAAGTGGGAGTGATTATGGTGAAGCGGTGGAGGGATTCTTTGAGGGGTTATTTGATGTAGCCGGCGTGGCTGCCATTGGAGCTGCAATAGCCAGGTAAGGCAGCTTTTGAGGCAGCGCTAATGAGGGAGGTCTGGTGCGATGATCAGGTGCATTTACTGGCTGGGCTCTTATCTAGCGGTAGGTCCGGTGATGGTGCTCCTGAGATGCCTTCGAGGGATTCCTTATCAAGACGTCTGCAAGAAACCAACATCGAATGAAACAAGGACTTGCGGCGTTAGAGTTGGCACCTTGCCACATTTTGATCATGGTGCACTCTTGGGAAGATGGTTCTCTCTCTTCATTTCACAATTTGTGAACTGAATATATCAGAGGTGACTGAAAATGGATGGCTTTTGCTTCATGTACCCTCACGAAAGATTCATATTAGAATTATTTTGGAATTTAAAGGAATCCTATGAAAACATATAGGAATCCTATAGGCTTCCTATAAGATCTATAGGGTTCCTATGAGAAACATGCATCTCTACATAACTTCCATGAGAACTATATGGAAGTGTACAAGCGGTCGGCTGCTGCTAATAATAATGGGCGGCCTTCAAAAAATGTTTACATGAAGATATCTATATGAAGCAGTTCGGCTGAAATCAAACATTAAACATTTGCAAACGAACCTCGAGGAGCTCGAAAGTCTTGCCGACAAGTTAATTGTATTGTTCCCACTATCACCTTGGTGAACGCCTCAGGTTAACCGGTTTTCAAGAGGCTTGGGACGGTTTTGCTGGTTTTGTTGTCGCAGCACATTCAATGCTCTGGCATCACTGATTTGCTCAAGGGCAGTCGTAGCTATCAATATATGGTACGTATCACTATTGATTTTAAATATAAAAAATACGAACCATTTCCCGGAAATAGCTCGACTTTAGCACTGCAGGAATCTAACGCATGCGCGGCACGGTACTGACGAATAAACTTTTGAAAATGCCGCATCATTACCCTTCGGGCGCTGAAAGTGATGCCCACTGGTAAAGTTTGAGTGGCTGCAGGAACGCCTTCCCGTTGTGGCAGCAACTGTGAAGCAAATGCCCCTTTTCTGCAGCAAAATGTGTAGCTTCACAGCGCTCGATGCAGGTTCCCCTTTAGAATAGTCTTTATCGATAGGAATACGCGCAACAGCTGCTCGTTCAAGAATAGGTCGAACTGGAGGTCTTCGCGCGGCGTTCCTTCCCTCTAGTTGCTCAGCAGGTTCTTCTTTTCCGGCGTTCAGGTTTCGCTGCTTCCCGCTGTTACACGGCCCTACGCGTTCATTCGTGCAGGATTCGCTGCTGCGCGCTTTTCATCACTTATTCTGGCCCAATGACCGCCACAGCTAGCATTCCCAGAAACACTGTTTTATGCAATTCGCACCGCAACTGCGGTGGAAAATGTGTTTTCCCTGCCAACACCGATCGTTTCACCTCCACCATTATTTCTTCTTCCCGTTCAACCGCACCATCGCGAAGATCGTCACCGTGGACCTTGAGGGGGGGGAGCACCCGGTTTTCGCGGCGTGTGAGGCCAAGAGATTGTTTTTAGTCTTGACTTCATCGATCGTGAAAACTCAAAAATATCAGTCACGACATGAAACGCAAACAGAAAAGGATTGCATGGTTCCGACGGCGCGAACCGCCATTCCTGTCCTAAAAATAATATTCTTCACAGTGAAACAATCCATCAAAAAAGGCTTTTCAAGGGGAGAATCCACAGTCGGTTGGTGAAAACGCGATATGCATTCACAAATGAGCGGTGTCGATAAAAAAATCTGGCGCCACTGAGTCTGAAGCCCATACAGATGAGATGCCATCTCCTAGAATGGCACAGCCTCGTCGGATTCGCGCTTTAAACCGTGGATGACTTAGTCAATGGCTTAGAATGGCATCGTCGGCAATGGACGCCTAATTGGAGAAAGCCTGCCATTCATTCCTGTCAGAGTGGAAATTCTGGTCGATGCGGACGATGGAATTGCGGCTGACGTTCTCTCTCTCTCTCCGTTCAATTTCTTCTCCGATCGTCGTTTCCGTTACGTGCTGGCCGAATTCGGAGTAAAGCGAACGATTGCTTCAGATTATTGATAGTTGAACGTTCCCCAGTCATTTTCCTCTAATTCATTTCTATTGGGATCGATCGCATTGGAGACACGATGCATCAGACACACACAGGCAACGTGAGATTTATTTCGGATGGTTTAAACACGTCACAATAAAATCTAGCATTACGAAAAGCACTTAACTTTCAAAAGGTGGGCAGGATTCTTGACACACCCTGTTGTAATTGCCATTTACAAGGTGAGTAAATTTAGAGTTATACCAAAGTGTTTATGGTCTGGAACAGGGGTAATCAACTAGGGGCTCGCCAATTCATTTTCTGCGGACAATGAATTCCTCAACATTTGGTTTCGGAAATTTGCAGCAAATTTCACTTGTTCGCATAAAAAATGAGGTGTGATATTCTTTAATGAGAGCACCAAACACATCTGAACCAAATCATTTGATCCCCGCCAAATTGAGTTAGGCAATTCCGGTCTAGAATGAATTGGAGAGGAAAGTCTGGAGAATCTATGATGGGAAAATCAAGACTGAGGGACTTTAAATAGCAGAGATATTCGGAGCGGATTGCGGGGAAAGGTGGGAGCGTAACCCACTGAAGCAGCTTGCTTGCTTGCTCAAAACAGGCGGAATTAATTAATATTGCGGAATTAATGGTGCTAATTAAGTGGACCGAAATTTAGCCTGACAAGCACGTATGCCAGCGCGAAAACATGGTGACAGAAAATGAAATAATTGCGTGAATCGCTAAGCTGTCTCCAACGACTACTCGTAATGAGGAATTGCTGGTCAGTCCATTAATCATGTAACCATCTTCAAAGGGAAATCAGAATAGTATATTTATGTCGATGGATTATATTGTACAATTTATCGTTGAGTTTCTTGACACAAGACATTCCACCGTAGGGCTCAGAAGCGTTGCGTACACCAGGTCGTCATTTAGTATGTGCTCATCGACCGACCATGCCACATTGTGAGCCGGAATCATCAGCAGAATGGAGAAGGAAAAGAAGACCAGATGCGAATGACTTTTGCCTTCATTCATTCAAAGTTTCATAAAGAAATGAATGGTTTTATACTAGAAAGACATTATCAGAGCTGAACTCGTCCTCTTCATCGAAGTAAGACACTATATCAACGTAGATGAGCTCATTCCCTGGTGGGTCTATTTCACCGATTTCGTCTTCGCCATCTCCCGAGATGAATTCCATTTTCTGCATTTCGACCTCGGCTGTTCGCTTCTTATATCGACGAGGACGGACGTTCTCTTCCAGCTGAGTACAAGCGATTTCTTCGTTTTCCGGGGAAGGGTTGTCCTCGAAATGCTATGACTGGATTCATTGCCGAATTAAATTACATATACTGGATTTGTCGAACGTATTCATCATATCAGCTCGTTCTTCAGTTTGGGGGAAACAAAGAAGTAACCCCCAGGGAGCCATGTCATGGGGATGATGAAGACTAAGCAGGGTTCCCATTATAAATGCTGTTAAGAACTTATAACATCATGTGTCTCTTCAGGAATGACGCCGCTGGTCACTCCGGGAATTTGGACAATCCGATGGAAGGAAAAACTTTCGGCATTCCTCGATGATTTGGTCACGTTTGAGGAACTCCATGGAAATAATTCGCATGTCTCCGGTCAGTCGAGTGTCTCGGATTCCTCTTCAAGAAGTCACGAGCTCGAGTGATAGATGAAGATGAGACTGAAGTCACTGGTCGTCGCCCGTCTTCGGTGATTCATTCACGAAAATCACAAAAAAACACTCTTGGGGGAATAAATTGCCTTGCAATAATCAGTAGATCATTCCAGTTGAAAAGAACCAAAGTGTACAGTCAAGGATATCGAACACTTTTCTTCAGTCGTTGTAATTAAATTCAAATATGCTACTTTGTACATGACTGTACTGCAAGTGTATTTTTAATGTTTTGTATATTCACTAAACTCAGGAATATTGTAGTTGGTGAATTTAAGTCTACGTTAAAACGTCACATTTCCCAAGTTCCTATTTTTTCCCCAACATGACTTGGCACGGGGCTGGGTTCAGACTTATTGAATAAGCGCACGTTTTTCGTTGGTGGACTTGAAGTAACAAGGTTCATCACCTGAGATCATTACCACCAACATTCATGCATATTTCAATTTATTCTTCCTGCACGATGATTATTCCCTTCATTTCTTTCGCATTTCGACATGGAATCACATGACGAACACTTCCCCCAAGCCTCTTTCTCGCAGACAACCCACGCCGAACACGCCTGCGAACCAGCTCTGTTTCCATCGAAGTCAATTTCCACCATGAAGGATGTCATTCTCAATTTCAAAAGAAATGATTATAAGTCGTAAAACGAGAAAATAATGTGACTGGAATTTTTCATGAAGGATAACTGCACATGGTTTTAGTATATATTTGGGTGGTTCAAATGAAAGAGGGAAAAGTATAACTTTAACAAAGAAATGATTATAAGTCGTAAAACGAGAAAATAATGTGACTGGAATTTTTCATGAAGGATAACTGCACATGGTTTTAGTATATATTTGGGTGGTTCAAATGAAAGAGGGAAAAGTATAACTTTAACTATGTAAATTTTACCTCTGACAGTGTCACATTGTTGCTTTAGTTCAGTTGGAACGTGTCTCTATGCTCACCTTTGTTTTAAAAAAAAGTTCAAGAGGTCACCCAGTAAATTCAAAATGGTGGCGCCGCTGGAAACTTGCACCAAAAAAGAGATGCCAGATTTTTTAACATATCCATTGTAGAACGAAGAATGTCAATGGTCATACGATTATGTCACAGGCCCGCGTGCATGCATGGGGCTCAGAAGCAGTGCCGCTGATCTCCAAGACGCCGCTCGATCTGGTCCGCCAGAAACCGCACGATCCAGCCGGAGACGATGCGCGATGCTGATGAGCTCATCGAGCACAACAGACGCTTCAAACTGAGAGAGACACAAATCCTGTTAAAAAATCTGGCCACACTCAGCATCTCTTCCTTTCTGCAAGTTTACAAACGCGCCACCGTGTTGAATTCACTGGTTGACCCCTAGAACCTGTTTCAAAATAAATGTGAGCATTGAGAGAGGTGCCACCTCAAGCATTGCAACATGTCAGTAATAAAATGAGAGGTTAAACTCATTTGCACTAACACTTTTGTAATAAATTAGTAAATTATTGC